AGATAATGAAGCACAGTTACTGATTCCTTGCTTGCCATTTCCTCTTTGGGCACTTTTCAAACCTGTGAGTATGTGTCCACAACACAGTTTAGGCAGTTAAACATTTTCCTAAACAAATTGATGACCTGCAGTTGTAACTTCAAGCTAGCGAGAATAAATGCTCTAATTGTTATTGCATGTATTTTAACGCTTCAGATTTTGATGTAATGCTAAACCTAGGATTGTATGCATCTTGTTCAGTAAAATCACYGCTGTCATTAACTGATTGATTGATTGATTTTCCCCTCTCCCGGCCCCTCTGTTACTGGGTGAGCCCATGTTTAAAGGTAGCTGGGGCAGGGAAGGTTGCAGTGCTCGTGTAGCTCCCCTGGAAAACCCAGGCTCAGGCACTTGTCCCCTTGTGCTCAAGTGGTCTGGCACCAAGCATAGGGGCCACAGTTCCCAGCTTATTTCATACTGTTTTCTGGATGGGAAATATCTTGTCCTGGGTTCTATAGAAATCCTTCACTATTATGCCTAATTTTCTACCCAAAAGAATGCCGTTAAGTTTTAGACCCATGTGTGCARTGCTGCTTTTATGTTACAAGCAATGAAGTCTACTTATTGCTTGAGTGGAGTTGCTAACTCTTCTGCTAAGGCATTTTAATCCCTTCACCTCTTAACGTATTGAGACACGTGGGCTGCTTACAATGTCCTCTTGGAGGAAAAGGTTGCTCTCTCGGTATTGCCACGGAGAGYAGAGCTATTAACACAGAATCAGGTTTAAAATTGCTGTCTGTTGCCAGAGCTTATGTACCTTTCATTTTCATAAACCCCCTTCAGCCAAAAAGCAAAGCACCCCTGGAATGTTTACTGAATTTTTTAGATGGTTCTGGGTAGTTTCTCTRTTGTGGTGAATCTGACAAATCTAAAATGGACATTTATGGCCATTTTTATACATAAGATTCATAATTTAATTCATGGAATGAAGGTCTCTACCAGTCTGCCTGTATCACAGTGATTGTGCTGCAGGAAAGTGAAATGTGTTATTCGGTTGATCTTAGCTTAAAACCAAGTTCATTCGCACTAGTTTGGTCTCCTTTCATCTGGAGCTGTTTCCACACTGTGATTCTGCATGGAAGATGCCACGTCCCCTGCAAAGGGCAAAGCCTCAGTTGAAGAAGTATGAATGAGGAGAGAAAATGGAATTCACTGGACCTCAAGATTAGGAAATTAACTTTTCAAAATACCAGCTTATTGTTGCTGATTCCGAATGCTTTTTTTCTTCTGTGTGAAGTTCTTCTAATGTTGTGCAGCTGGAGTAAAATACATAGTCACAGGGAAAGACTTTKTGTAAGCTGTCATGAAAAAAATGCAGTCAATTCTCTGAAGAAGTATGATTTTTTTATTCTTCCATGGTTGGAATACCACAAATGTTTTTTTCTGAGTAAAAGATTATTTCTAGTTGCAAATTGCACCAGTTGGAGAGTCATTGTTTTTGCTTATCTATAAAAGACAGGACAGTGTTTTTGTTTGTTTCCAGTGTCARTTTCCAGTGTCAAAAATACCTGTCAAAATGTTTTCTTGAATGCTTTCAGCTCTTAAATTGTTGATGACCCAGTTCTTCAAGCTACCTTTAACACTTYCTGGCCTTCTTGTTAACTTCTATAGTTATCTCTTTATTCCTCAGTTAACATGTGCTTCTAGTATTAYGCAGACTATTGTTCAGTTTTCTGTCATCTTATGAGCAAAAATCTAAAYGTGTCCAAAGAGACACAGAAGAGTTTGAAACATGGTTTGGGGTTTTTCTGGGGAGGAGGAGTGAGTGTTTTATTTGTTTTTTCTCCTTCTCTTTTGTGCGAACTCTGCCATCAGGATTTATAAGATACTCAGTCAAAGCAGCAACCCCAGGACATGGCAGACAGCTGCAGAGAAGTGAATTATCACCGAGTCTCTTGTGGAGCTGAATATTTGAAACAAATGTGGCTTAAGCTTCTGCTATGCATTTTTAGCCTACTCAGGTCTTCCAGCAATTGTAATATAATTGAAGCCAAGAGCTGGGAATAATTTATGGCTGCTGGGCTGTTTCACCCTGCTTTTATTCCCTTCAGAATCACTGGATGAGAAAAGCTAGCTTATTGGTCTTCCCCTCTTGTTTTCTGAACAGAAAGCATGCACTTTTTTACTAGCATATGTGGCGGCAATGAAAGCTTACAACCCACTGAGCTATTTGGTTATGGGAAATACTCTTTGCTCTTGCAAATCTAAATGTTTTTAAGTTATTTAAAACATTAATTAGACTTCATTCATCTGCTACAAGGAATGTATGTGCCTTGGCAGGTTCACTGTTTTTTTGCATTTAATATTGCAGCTGTGACACAATAACATAATGGAATAGGGAGTGGGTTGTAGCCATTTTCTGCTCTTTGTCCTTCCTCATGTGGCAGCTGGGCGATAGTCACGTTTGCTCTGRTAAATGTCCTCTTAGGCAAAGGCATGATATATTTGGGCAAAGGCAGAGCACTTCATCCTTTGGTGTAGGTACTCATGGGTACTGCACTTGCACGTCTTCTCTCTTCAGTGCAGGTTCTGTGGTAAATGGGTAGGTTGTAAAATACTCTTACAATGTAATCTRCATACAGATTATTAGCTGCAATACAGATTAGCTTCTAGTAGCTGCTCTACTTGGCAATTGAAATCGGCATCAACTGTGTGATTCCCTGATGTAGTTGGKCTAGGTAGTGCCCAAGTCAGCCACTGTTCCCTCTAGGAAGTCCTCTTATTTTCTCTTACTACTAATCTGCTTGTAAAAGACTACTCCTAAAGCTCTTGAGAATGTCTGGGAAAATTGTTTTGTAGATGTCTTCTGTGCTCTGAAGATTGGCTATGATTCCTGTTAAAGTGCTGAATATTTAATGTTGTTTACAAAACTAGTACATTCTTCAACAATATTAACCTTTTCTGATACTTTTTTCTTTTGTGCTTTYTTTTTTWATCATACTTAATGGCARAATGTAAAATCTGTTCCTGTCTGAGCTCATGAAGTCTTGATTTATGAAGAGTGGGAAAAGAAGGAAGGGGGATGCTTGTTTTTGTGGCAAGGACTTTACCTTCTGAGATCCCTTTTAATCCGCAAGATTTGTGAGGATCAGAGCAGAAGTAAACAGTATCCCCATTCTCAACATCTATTTAAACATTASATTTCTGATTTCTCCCTCCCCCTTGCCCTGAGGGGGAATGAGTGAGAAGCCTCCTTTCTTAGGGTCTCTTTTCCCGTGGCAATGTACTTGCAAACTGGCGTCTGAGGTGAATTTCTGCCTGGTTGGCCCATTGGTGAGGGGCTCATTACAGCCAGGGAAGAAGGGGGGGAAGCTGCTTTGAGTTTTGTCTTTTCCAGAAAGATTCAGGATAAAGGCAAGATCTCTTGTTCCCTGTCTTGCTGTCACGATACTGACTGAGAACTCAGCAGTCAGGTTTCTGTGGGAGGAGGTGGCTTTTGTAAGGTCGCTTCTGGCACTCTTTAAGATTGCTGTTCACTGTGTCATTCCTGGCATCCTAGGCCAATCTGAGGAACCTAGTGCACAATTGAGTGAAGCTGTTAGTTCTCTAATTTTGAGCAGGCAGTTTAGGAAGAGGGCTGATGTAGTGTATGAGGTATCTGTAGCAAGATCATTGCGAGGGTAAATGGCTTATAGAAAATACTTAATAYGAAATTCTTCGTCTCCAAATATCATGCACGTGCAAGGATAAAWGCTTAAAAGCAAGCCCATTACCAGCAAAGTAAATCTCTCTTGTTAGAGTTTACTCTAAAACTCTCTTGTTTAATGGTAACGATTATTCTAGCACAGTAGCTAAGGAAGGGCATGGAAGCTGGAGGTGAACGCTGGTTGTCTGTCTGTCTGCCTGTTCAAGATTATAACTTTTGCAGTCCATAAATCAATTCTCCTTAATCCAAGGACAGCTGGCCAGAGGTCTTCATAGTGTGTGCAAAGTTGCTAGGATGCATGGTTGGTGCATTATTTATACAAATGCTTTTAACTAAAAGCAAGAACCCTTTTAATTTGGATGAGGGAGACAACTGAGGCACAAGTGATCTGTGTTCTTGAGCAATGTTTTCTTCTGCTGCCAGAGAAGAGAGCGTGGTGGCTCTTCTGCTTTCCTGTTTTGATTTCACTGCTGGGTGGCCTGAACTATGATTAAAGAGGAAAAAGAGGTTAGAGAGGCCTAGAATGATGGCTAAAGAGACTCTGCGGTGAGGAGCTTCAATGCTCAGTAAGTGCATTGCATGATTCAACCCTACGCTGTGTCTATGTCAGATGTGACTCTTTCACATTAACTTCTCATCTTTTATTCCACTGATTACATCCTGGATTCTGGTAATATCTCCTCCAAGGCTGCTTTTGAACAAGTCCCAGGCTGTTCAGGTATCAAATGTTTATATTTGTGGCTTACTGTGACAGTTGGCTTATTGCTTTGGAAAATGATGCTTTCCCTGGCCTTGCCCAAAGTGAGAATCTTGCTGAAGATGTTCACAGGGCGGCTGCAGAGGTTCCAAATAGGTGGATTTGTGGGGCAGGGGTTTAGGCAGGTTTGACCTTTACTTGAGTTGGAAGGTCATGTGCCATAAAAAGAATTACAACTCATTTAAACCAAGAAATATGTTTAGGAAAAAAAAAAAAAGAGGAGGAAAGGTACCTGCCAGAATGCATTCCCAAAATCCCCATTCTCCTCACAGCAATGTCTTTTATCTTGTAGTCCTTTCTGACTACTGGTACAGTTTTGCAGCTGACTACTGTGACTTCCAAGCAAAAGCAGTGTTTCATAAGGCAAGTAACACTACTTTTTGCAAAATTGGAGCTAATGCTGTTAAATATGCAGACATTTGAATTTCTGCGATGACATTTCTGTCATTTTGTTATTTTAATTTGTTTGTGAGAGCATTTCCCAGTGTTGTTTATCGTATTATTTTTAAATACGAACATTCTGTATCTGAAGCACTGAAGATTGACGCGCTGTAGGAAATGGAGCTAGGGCTCGTGTCTGGTTTGCACGCGGTAGCCAGGAAGCCAAGGTGTGTACTCGGTGTTCCAAGTCTTTCTGAGATAATAAAATCAGATGCACTTGAAAGATGGCAGTTTGAAGGTGTGCAGTGTCAGGCTGGATCTTGCAATGCCCTGTTACTTCAAGTATGCCGGATGTTTAGTGAAGGGACTGAGGTGGAATAAATGATTTCAAGAGGCAGGAAATAGTCCTGGCCGTGCAACTGAAATGTAGCCGTTGAGATGCGCGTGTTCCTTGGACTCCAAACTATTCTTGGAGGGTGCAAGTTGAAACTGAGTTTATTTTGCTGTAGATGAGACCTTGACTTTAATCTGAGCAAACTGTCATAATAGTGCCATTCTTCAGCATTTTATAATCATGAGCTCAAAAACCACAATCGAACAGTGTGTACTTGGTCACTTTCTTTACAGATTTGTTGTCATGTGTATCTATTCTTTTTTTCCACAAGATTACAGAAGACTTACTGGAGGATCCTCTCTCTCTCTCCTTCTCTCTCTCTCTC